CTGACTTGATATGATCAAAGACAATGAAAAAACAACAACAAAACACACCCAACAACAACAACAAAAAACCCAAGCCAAAATAAATCTTGCTTCAGCAGCAGCAAAACAACATTTGTGCTGAACTGTTCAAAAATGAAGACTTGACACTATTGAAAGCATGAAGCTGGGAAATGGCATTCAGCTGGCCAGCCCTTTGGGACACTCTGAGGGCCCCCCTCTGACGCACCCCTTCTTTAGTCAACTTAGAAAAACTGTTTAACAGTATCGGAGTGGGCATCTGTCTGAAATACAATTCCTTCTAAAGGTCCCTTGCTAGCCACGTCCCCGTACTAGACACAGGAGACACGTTTTTAACATCTTCACAGATAAATTATTTGCACTGTTACTGGTTTTTTGCCTTGATTTTTGGCTGCCTGCTTCCAGAAGCTTTAACATTAGCATATGTATTTAAATATACAACGTTAAGGATAAGTTCTCCCCAGCCGTGTGCTTTGGTAACTTCCTGTCGTCCCATTAACTCTGCTCCTGCACTCGAACACTTTATACATGCTGCGGCCAGCAGGCGATGCTAAAATACCTCCGAGGGAAGGAAGAATTTAAAAACGCATTTTCATGGGAAGCGCTAGAATCCTGAGAAGCAGCAAGAACGTGCCATCACCCCAACGTGACAGGTTTCATTTGTAATCTTCTGGCGTTATCTGATTTACAAGCAGTTAACTACTCTCATCTCATCAACAGTGAGTTCCAGATGTTTCAAATAAGAAGGAAAATGCATGATGGCAGCTATACAATAATCAACTGATACATTAAGTCTCTTGGTACTCCCTGAAGATTTATGCTTTAGTCTGAAGTATCATACACTTGTGTATGCACACGTACCCAAAGTCAATATATGATGTAATAGCAGAAATAATTCAGGAGTCAGCTTTATGTAGAGACATAAATAAGTAGATTGCTAGTAACTGTCTGGCATAAGGATATAGCAGGATAGTGAGAATAAATTAAATTAGAGGTGAATTGTACGAAACTGTATTTGAGAGAAGATGAGAACATCTCTGCACAAGTCATCTTCTGTGAGATTTATTAATCTGTAAGAAAATACTTAGTTGTGATGAGCTCCAAGAGCACGAGTTGGGGCTATTACCCGAAGTGAGAGCTTTTGGAGGAACACTAATTGAAAGGAAAAAAGGGATGTAAATGCAGAGATGAAATTGTTCTTTGCAGAATACGTATCGTTCTCAAAATGATACTTACTAATTAATCCAAGGGAGCAAGCAAAGATTTTAGAGAGCACTAACTTGGATGAACAGCTCATTTCAGAAGCAATAACTTTTAAGAGAAATTATGATGAGGAAATATGGCTGCCCCCAGAACGAAGCTGTTGCCCAAACTGGTAAGGCACGGAAAGAGGACAGCACGTAACTTCATGGCATAAAATTATGGTCACGTGTATCCCACACCAGCTAAGCTTATGAAAGTTCCGGCTCACACAATTTGGCTCACACAATTTTATGTTTGGGGTAGGTGGAGCAGGAAAACAATCCAACACTGCAGTAACATTGAATTATAGCAACAACGGACAATGTTTATCAATCATCAAATATAAAAACTTCTCCCAGCTGTTAAGGATTTACTGTACTTTCATGTGACTTAGTCCTTACTTGTGAAAGTCAAGATCTCTATCGGCTGAGGAACAAAAATTCACCAAGCAACCTCAGGTTTTATTTACTGTGCACTGCTAACGTAGTCGGGAGTGGCTGCAGCAAACCCTCCCTAACAATCCCGCAAAGCTTTGCGGAAATGCTTGGCGGCAGTTTCCAACTCTACCAACCAAAGTCAGATACACCTTTCAAGGTCTCTCACTCCTCCCCTACCTTGCCTGAAGGTGTTGTCCAGCCTACTTTTCTTAATTTAGAGACTGGTATTTTGGCCTTTACTACTATTAGTAAACCAGTGGTTCTCATCCATAACATTTCATGTTTTTGATTTGTACATCATTTCGAACAGGACTTGATTTGCATTTCCTGTCCCTTCAAACAGGTTCTTCAGATCAGCGTAACTCTGAGTGCCTTGGACGCCCACCAGAATTCCACCCTGCTCTGCCCCCTCTTCCTCAACTTCTCTTCCAGACTGACTTCTGAAGAAAATACAGGTACCACCCACGACAGGCCTGAAGTCCCCACCTAAAGCATTTTTCAGGCAACCACGGAGAAATTCTAGTTATCTTCCTTCCACCTCAGCATCCAACAACCAGACAGCTCACCTCTTCTCACTACCCCCACATAGGATGGGCTTTCTCCTCCATCCACAAATGACGGACCTCTGTGTGATACCATGACTCTGAACGTCTCAAGCCCCGAAGGGACAGCAAGTGATGTTGCACAAGCATGGGAATGCACGTACAGGTTCCACAACGTCGTCCATACCTTTGTGCTTGGAGCTACGTCATACCTGTAACCACACGTGTTCTGGGTAGCTGAGTTTTCAAATACAGAAGGATTGTGCTGTTTGCAAGAGCCAGGTAAGGTAATCCCTGCTCTTTGCACTCGTGGGAAAGACAGAGGGTTGAAACATAAGGAAATCTGGGTTTTAAGCAATCCTAAGGCAAAACTGCAAAATGGGAGAAAGGTAAGCAATGACCTCAGGCTTTCCCCGCTGCCTGTTACCTGAAAATGGCACAAAACTCGCTAAGATACTGTCCATGACTAGCTCACAGTCAACTAATACTTGTGATATGGTTGCAAGACTCCAGCTAAGCAGCTGAGGACATGTGCAATCTGTATGACAGCAAAAATCTAGGAACTCTGACAGCTGGTCACACAGCTGAGCACTTTGCTAAGAAGTGAAGCTACCAGGCTAAAGCTGCTTTTTTATTTCTTCTTTCTTAGAGAAAGAAAACCAAACCACTAACTGCCATACTATGTTTTCAAAACCCAGTTTGGACTGAGGATTACTTTCAGACTAAATTTGGCAATGATGGTCACTTTTTTCAGACTCAGAAGAATGAGCTTTTAAATTATTTACCAGCCCCCCCAAAAACTGACATTGGTCTGAAGTGTTCTACTTTGTATAAATTAGCTCTGTCTTCATGCAGCCCAGCGATTTGTTCCTACCTCTTAACCTTCCTATTAAGTTTACGTTTTCTCAGATATCCCTGCAATTAGTGCCTTTTAAGAAAATGTCTGGGACCATGGAAAGATTTTGGACGAGGCCAGTATTTTGAAAGTTTAGACAAAAACCCAGGCCTCCCAAGAGATCTGAAGGACTGGTACAGTACACAATAAACATCCGGACACCCTAACACACACCAGAACCCTAAATGCTAGAAAAGCTTCTAAAATTTTTGGACGGACTAATGGGTTTCAAGGGAGAAGGCAATTTTAGAATAGCTCTTCTGTAAAAATCTGTGACGTATTAAACTTTCTGGGGTGTCTCAAGTATTGCGCACTGAAACCCAACCATTTCAAATTCCAACACAGTTGCAATTACTATAAGGCAAGGCTGCTTGATAAAAAATGTGTATGCAGTAGGTTTAGATTTCAGGAGATAATGACACACTTCACAAACTGCATTTAAAGGTGAAAATAAGATATTTGAGAAGCTGCTGTGACTTGTCAACTAGTCTATAGGGGGGGAAAAAATTAAAAAAAACCCCACCCATCAGTTTCAAAGCCTTATACAGACCACAGTGGCTACATCTTACTTCTATTAATCTGATTTTTAGGCAGCAGTTGTAAATACATCACAAAAAAAATTGTTTTCATATCACTATACTGAAATTCTTGAGCATCTATTATATGAATATTTCAATAACAGACAACTGATTCATGTTTCTTGAACTAAGCATTCCCATTTGTGTAGTAACTATTGATGATTTTGAGCAGTGACTATGCATACCATAGGTGATCACAAAGCCAGGGATAGTATGAATATTCAATTTTACACTTGTAAAAATTTAAATCAAGAGTCACGCTACAGCTCACTGCATTAGTAAAGAACAAATGCTTACCACACTCACCCTTTTCCTGTTTTGAACACAAAACGTGGAAGATTTATCTGAAATCAGCATTTCAATGACTGCACGTGGGGAGGGGCATGAGAACAAGCCTGTCCATGTTGTCTGAAGAGAGCTGTGGTTGGGGACAGGCAGAGCGCGAGAGCGGTGTGGTTCATCTGGGAGGGGTTGTGGAGCACAGCAATTGAGGAAATGTCACCTGAGGCCTTCTTACGTGCCCACTTCTAGGAGGTTAATAATGACGTTACCTTAACCAAAGATATTTTTTATTGGGTTCAATATTCGAGCATCATTAGGTTGAGGTCTTTGAGAAAAGTAAACCTGTAAGACTAAAAAACCCCAACCTTATGAATGGCAATTGGTACATGAAGTTTAATTTTAAATGAGATTTTATCAGGCTTGTGAAAACACGCCAAAAGCCAAATTGTGTTATGAGTCTAAAATTACCGAACAAGATATGAACAAAATACTCCATTTTCAAAAAACAGCAAATATAGGTTTAATGCTAGTCATCCAAAAATCAACATTAGTTTCTTAATAGAAGGCAAAAATAGTAATTTCCTTTTATTTTTTAACCTACATTAAGTACAAACAGCAATAGTTGCTGTGTAGAATATGCATCATCGAGATCTTTAAAAAGCAAAATCAGCAGAGAATGCTGACTCATGCATCAAGATCTTCTTAACATCCTGACAATTCCATAGCAATCTCTGAAAACCTATCTGGGTTAAGGACTGGGTTAACGCTGCAGAGTGGTTTTGTTAAACGTGCGTATAATTTAATTGTCACGCGCCACAATCATATTTCTGTGTTATAGCCATGTAGCACAACTAACATTTTTCTTGCAGATCAAAGGGTGTGTCAATATACACGAAGCCATATAAAATGCCATAAAATACCTTATGCAATCTTTAAGCATCTGTCTTCAATATAATTGTATTTACATATTTTTATGAACTTGTAATATGTAACGAGCCACTGAAGACATTTTTACAATATTTATTAGATTATGAATTTATAAATTCAAGGACTTAGAGGCACATAGTTTAAAAGGCCAAGAACACCGAAACTAATGAAGTCACAGAAATCAGAATATTTATGGACGTAACACCAGTAAAAAAAAATCAAAATCACATCCAAACTAAAAGCAACACTTCTTAAGAGTCATCCTTCAAAGTTAGCATAATAAAAAGTTCTCATTTCCCTCAAAGAAAAATAATTCATCCCACCTACCAAGCTAGAAAAACCTATTTACATTTGTACTTTGATCAGAAGTATCATTAAGTTGTGTAATACAGCCACTTCTATTCCACCATTAGAATTTAACATTTCTTTTAAAGTATAGTTGTATTTACAAATGCATAAATATCGTAATTCTGATCTTCATTAAGATCTGAATGAAAACAGGTTGTTAAGTCACAATACAAACGTGTTAGTGGAAAAAGTGTTTGGGGCAGCTGCATATTCAGCATCATTCTCAAAGAACAGGAAGCCAGTACTTTGATAAAGCTCAAGTTCATCAACTAGACCAGGTCTTTAAGTTACGTTAATGAAGATTAAACCTCTTCTCTGTTAACTCTTTACATTGGTTTCTTCAGTCAACTTTCACCACGCTGTATATTTTGGTTACAAACCAAAAGCATGCAAAGAATCCAATTGTACCTAAAAAAAAAAGTAAACATTAGGAAAACTGACAGAGGACACATCAATTTCTATCTGTAGCTCATAAATCAGGACATACATATATGCACTCTGCTATCTTTAGCGTTCAATACATCCATCAGATCAGATAATAGGAAGTTGCAGATAGTACCTGGTCTTTACAGCCATCAACTACTATATAAAGTATCTCATTATTTTCACAATCAACGAGCTGATCACATGGAAGACTCTCATTTTAAGATGTTTCTGCATTATTTCCCTTCCTACCTATTTGTTCTTTGTTGTTTCCTTATTCCCCAGTCCAACTCCTTCATATTGCTCCCCCCTTCTTCAGTAACTAGTCACACACTCTTTACCTGGTCTGCTCAGCTGGTCAGAATCTTGTTATTATATTTAATAAACCAGTTAGATTGACAGCATCAAAAGGAGTTCGCATTGCTTAGTTATACTTCAAGATCTTGGAAAATTAGAGTACTACCTCTTTTCTGTGTAAATCAAGTTAATACAAATTTCAGTATAGTGTAGTTACTATACAACTTGTACTTCCTATTAATGACGCATTACATACCTTAAAAATAAACACTTTTGACTCCTTTCAGTATTTCAGAAGATATAAGCAAACTTGAACTGAAATTTAAGGATGAAGACCGTTTCCTTGATAACTTATAATCCTGTTAGCTGAAGAAAAATAGTTGCATCCCTTCTCTTTGTGCAACTTCAACAGAAGTTTTTAACAAAAATATTCTTTTGAATGCAAAGTAGTTAGCATAGTTGGGCTTTGTTAATCTAACTGGATTACTTCAAAATGCAGCCTCAGTCAGAACGATAACGGACTTAACAGCAGCTCAGAACTGTTACAGGAAACTTCATTTCGCACAAAAACTAGGGCAGGGAAAAAGCCCCAAAGATTATCTGATTTTTGCCTGCGTACCTCTTCTAAAAATCATAGCCTTAATTTATGCAAGAGCCAAGTAAGTTCTTTCAAGAAAAAAAAAAAGCGCCTTTATTTTAGATCTGATAAGAGGCACAACGAAAGTTGTGTGCTAACTCATTCACTGCACAAGCTTGGAAGGAACCATGAATGGTATCACGGTAATTTTTTTTTCCTTTCACGCTTGCTAAACTACTGATGTTTAACTGACTCATTGACTATGATACGTAGTTGTGGTCCCAGCTGTGAATCAAAGATTTGTCACGTAGCTCCCGGTATTTTGCCTGCTGAGCCTGATCAATGACCTGGAATGCAGCATGGATGCAAGCGCCTGAAGCATGTGTTACACTGACATAGCAGCAGGGCACTGTCAAAACCCTTCCCGATACTGACGATTTTTAACAGATGAGTAAGCAGCAGCAGAATAGTTTTGATACAATTATGATTTTCTCTTTTTAGTTTCTTTATCATCCTGACACAGGAAGTCAGTTGCCTTTAGGAGCAGTTTTTGCTAAATTACTAATATGCTTTTTCGTTTAAGAAACTGGAGAACTGTCTGCCCCTTTACCCTGCCTCTGACTTTTTATGTAAAACCTTATCTCGAAGCACTTCAGTAAATCTCAGAGAACTGAACATATCCGTCCTTGAGTGCATATCAACCAAAATAGACAAAATTATTCTTAAATCTTAAGAAATATCACTATCCCCTCAAATTAAAGGATAATTTGCACTTCATCTTGTGGGAAGTAGATTTAAAAAAAAAATCGTTAAGCATATGATGTTTCAAAGTTCTAACCATTTGGTTAACTTCACATGTATTCTCCCCTAATTTCAATATACAAACTGACCGTTTCAAAGAACTAAAGCATACAAACTCTGAAAGCTTAGTTCAAGTTGCACAGCATATCTCAGATCTCTGCTGCCCAATTACACACAAATGACAACCACAGAAAGCACCTGAAGGGGGCTGAAAGTAAACCACCTCTCCTTTGCATGCTTGTAAATCAACTTGGAAAAGGACTCCCAAAATTTGCTGGCAAGTGCTGCACAGCCAACTGGGCAATTGAAAGTGAACATATGAGCAAAGGAAAAGGGGGATACACTGGACTTAATGACTCTAGATGACGTCGTGTGACATTGCATAATGGCAAAAGATGGAAATTATATGGGTACCTTAGCTAAGCCAAGTCTCAGCATAGAAAATTTAGCGTAAATCCCCTTTATCTTGAATGTGTGCGCTTCAGAATTACTGCATGCATCCAAAGTAAACAGACTGAACAAAGGAGGCAGGGTAAACACAATTCTTGTTTTGGCCAAACCTGCTTACTATTGAAAGACAGACATGCTGAATATCTGTTGGAAAAGCTAGTGAAACTAAATTAATTGACCTTACACTTACCTAAGACCTAATTATTTTTTCATGCTACTTTGTAAGTTCGCACTGTGTGTAAACTTGATCTACATACAGCCATACACATTCACTTCTAGTTGAACAAATGAATTCTTAAATTCTTTTGTGCAATGAGACTATTAGTAAACCAAGATCAGAAATAAAGGTTCAGAGAAAGGCAGGGTGAGAAATAACAGGGAGTGAGAAAGGGAGGCAGATCTATGATCTACTCATTCAGAATGTCTTGCTAACCAGTACACAGAATATAAACAAAAGTAGAGATGTGTAAGTTACAAAATATCCATGAGCAATGCCAAAACACATTAGACTGACTTAAAAAGAAGGACGGAAGATAAAACCAACCACTTTTGGAACACAGCTTGATCGCTTTTTGAAGAGATTATATAACGTACTTAAGTCTCATTCCCTCCTTTTAACAGGCAATGACCCAAGAAACTCCTTGCAGGCTCTTGCTCCTGTTCATCATCATCTGCATTCAATCGTGCTACACAAACAGCTTCAATATTTCCTAAGCTGAAGTGGCAAGGTCTTTGAAATTAATAGTCGGTTACACTTAAAATGAACACCATTCTCAAATGTCAGTTCTTTTCCCACGAGATTTTTTTTTCTTCCCCTATGTTAAGTGGAAACGAAAATTCTACTTATAGTGAGATCTGAATTAAAGTCACTTGTGTGCTAGGAGGCCTCAAAATATAGCATGCATAGCTGTATACATAAATACATATCAAAGCCTTAGGAATCATTAAATTTCATCATAAATGTGGAGCTTGAAATTATTTAAAGTATCGATCACTTCAAAGTAGTTTTAAGGTATTGCTCCGTGAAGTCCACAGAAACAAATTAGATTCTGCTGGAACAGAATTTAGTATTTTCAAGATTTTTGAGGAGTTGGCAGTTGCTGCCTTCTTGCATGAGAGTTTGAAAGGAGACTTCTAGCATTTTCACTGCCATTTTTTCATCCTAAACAAGTGATAAGTGTGTCTGACTGAAGATTCCTTCTCAGTACTAAAGATGACAAATGAAGATTTTGTGACCTCATCTCACTTATCGAAGAGGAAATTGAAATGCAGCAACTAAGACAGGTGCTTTTCCAAAAGCTCACAATAAACATGACAAGGTTCTGACAGCTGCATCAAAAAATGTTTAAGAAATTCTGTCTCCTTCCCGCACTACTGGGTAATTGGGTAAGAAAGTAAAGAAATTCTGGTAGAAAGCAAATAAAAAGTATTCTCTGTACTTTTACTCCTCTCTCTTCCTTCCACCTATTCCACAAAAGCTGCAATTTTTTCCTTAACTGACACTGTGTTTCTCTGAAGACAACTAATTTAAAAAATTTAGTTTGTCACATGACTAACATAGGAATGAAATCTGGAGAAGTATTTATCACATTTAAAGGTGTCGTATTTGAAGATCTAATTATAGGCCACATCTCAGATTAGCAGTAGTTTTGCCTCATTGTCACTTAATCTCTTTCACTAAAATTTGTAATCAGTGTTGCAAAATGCTACACAACTATCTGGAAAAAATGAAAGACTATATATAAATTTATAATGCTGTATCAAGATAAGTTTTGCCAAGGATTCCACTGTGCAAAGCTAGAGGCAGACTTAAATTTTGATTTAAAATTAAGGTTCAATATACTTACCCGTGAAGAGGAAGAAGATCAAAACCATAATCATGGTATAACCAAAATATAAAATGGTGCTAGCTGTTCCTGTGATTTGCAGTTTAGAAAAAAAATAATGTATTGCATATATTAGGAAATAAACTGCAGTAAAACCACTAGTGAGAAATGAACGCCACTGCCAGTGATAGTCCTAGAAGGAGTGGGGAGAAAAAAAAAAAAAGACAAAAACCAAATGTATGAGTAAAAGTCCATACACCTCTAACACACTAACCCTATTACTGGATGCAGATCTACTTTTTCTATTATCTTTTTATCCAAAAGTGAGTTTTTATAGTTTTTATCTACAGGAAAAAAGAATGATATATAATCAATACTGCTTTAACTACACCATTCACAGAAAGAAGAAACCTAAAGATCAATATCAAGTAGGTAAGAATCTAAAAGCTCAAATAATCCAGACCTACTGTTGTCAGCTACAGAGATTTCCCCCCCTCCCCAACACTGGGCACGTCCAAAATGCACTTTGATTGAACAAAGTTAATGGATTAGTTTAGTGTCTTCAGGAAACAGGGAGTTAGAATCTAAAGATTGAGATATCTGACTAAGCGGTACTCAGTGCAGTGTTTTAATATTTGTTACAAGTTTTGCCAAAAGTAGCCTGCTTGACTTTTTTAAATATATGGTTTAAGTACATCTCATCTAGTAAGTGTTTACGTTGAATTCTGGAATTCAACGTAATTGAATTCCAGAAGCCTTAACATTTTTTGGTAGCATTCTTAAAATGATATTAAGTATGAATTCTTACCTCTGCACATAGATGGAAGTAGCAGAGCAATATTGTAGCCTCAGAACATGTAATAACCAAAATAATGAATACCAGAAACAGGAAGCCAAACATGTAATACATCTGGTGAGACCTATAAAAGGGAGTTTAAAAAGATTAATATTTAAAATAGACACTGTGCTAATATTATTTCTTCATATGCGGTAAGATCATCTTCACCTTAAGTATTCCCCTTCCTACTGAGGAACTGTCAGTTGCGTGGTCATACAATTGACTAATTTGTTTTCCAACTGAAGAATGGGAGCCTCAGCAACTTAGTCTGAAAACAGCAAGAAAGCAAGCTCAAAGCATGCTCCTGGTTGGGATTTTAGGGGAAGAACTCACTAAACATGAGTGAAATTACAGTTCCGGTGAAGTCAGCGTGACCTCTTCCACTGACTTCAGCAGAACTTGGATTTCACCTCACATTTCAATCAAAGGGGCAGAGTTGCAAAATAACAAGAAATGTCAAATGCTGTAGCTGTCTATGTTGGGCAGAGGCACCTATTCAAGGTTCAGAAACAGTTTAATGAGATCCAATAACTAAATTTGCCAGAAGGAAGACAAATCCCTCACAGTAGATTAGTTTGTCAGTATGCTATGAGCTCACATAAGAATTTACTTACACTGGACTAGTCTTTGGTGCTTTATTTTTGAAAAGAATTACTCTCTGGTGCCTTTTCACAAAATTTGTTCTTTTTTCTCCCAAGAGTAGTAATACTTTTCTAGCTCAACAACAACAACAACTACAGCAACAACAAAAACTGAAGACAATTTTAATATACTTGCTACTTTCAAGTTATATGCCATATGTCAACTTCAGAGCCACTTCTACATCAAGTCAGAGGAGTAGCATGAGAAAACTAGCTATTTGAATATTGTAGGTCAGCTGTAAATTGCTAAGCATATCACAGCCACTTCTCTACACACCCCACCAAGCAAAACAGGCATGGAATATCTTCTAAACCACAAAATGTTAAAGAGATGCTAACATTTACATTTTTATTGAACCAGTATTTTGGTAACCCTGCATCACCAAAAATCAGTCAAAGCATCTTGAAAAAAAAAACTTTCACAAAGAAATTACCACCTTTTATAACAGAGAAAATTCAAATAGATTCTGGTTAACTTACCAAATACTATTGAGAATAAAGAACAACTGTATGAAGATACATCCAAAAGGCAGAATCCCTCCCATGATAATGCCAGGTAACGGCTTTGTGTAGAATGACTGCTCAGGAATCTGACGAGGGATTTGATTTGTGCGAACAGGGTGTTCAATAGCCTTTAAACGAAGATAAGAAATTGCTAAGTAACTAACATGTCAAACTACAACATCACCTTTTTGCTTTCTTTTTGAAATGAGTGGTGGCAGAAGGCTGCTATTTGTTTTGAGTGTGCGCATACCCAGCTACCACTACATCTGCTTTCGCTACCAGCCTAGCTACCAAGATTTGCTCGGCAAACAAGCTAAAATACTTAGCTAAAGCCCTAATTGGGAACATAGCAACAGATATTTTGGACTTCCCTTTTTATGCTTACCTACCTATGATCTGTTACAGAGCCCAAGCTGATTTCTCACTTTTGAGCTGAGAGGGTAGTGCTGGTGAAGACTCTTGCTTTCCCCTTCTAAAAATCCCTGTATTTTGTTTTTCAGGATTTACTCCAAAAATCACATTAGGGTAAACTTACAAACTGAGATGATTCAATCTGGCAATTAAATCCTAATTTAAGATGCATGCATAGATCAGCATGGTGAAAGAAAAAACTTAGGGCAGATAAATGCATACTTTGCCATCTTTCCACTCTCATAAATATTACATCAAAAGCATCAATAGATACTTGCTAGGTACTTGCTTTCTGATTTGATTTTAACATATTTGTGACACCTGTCACATTGCCTTATAGTTTATCAAATCCTCCCTTCTTAAAGGAACTGCCTCTGTACAATACAGAGGGTTTGCTGAATTTCAACCTGGTTATCAGAAGAAAACACTGAATTCTGGTTAAGAAAAATGGGATAACTACAATTGACTTAAAAAGTGCCTTCTAAGATACTTAAAAATTCTCTGAAGGTATTCCATGAGAGCTACAGACAGCTGGAACTCTGGCTTCCTATACAAGAAAAAACCCACAAAAATATCTGAACTTACAGATCTAAGTTTGTGGGGCACAGTAAACCACTTCTGAAGCAAAAAGGGGAAGAACTGATTTCACTATTTAAGCAGGTTTGGTCACCAGTATCACAAAGAACGCTCCTATAAATAAGTAAAACTGGTCAGTTTAGGAGTAAGTCTCAATTAATGGCTGCCAAGCAGTGATAACCATTCACAGAACTCTTATGCAAAGAGATGTCACAAGAACTCTTGTAGCAATTTCATCAGAAAATACCCTTCTAAAGACTCAGTGTAGAAGGCAGATAGGAACAAAAAACACAGGGGAAAACCAGAACTGCATAAGTTGCTTTCCCTTACGCTTGGCTGGGTCAACTAATTTTTTTAGTAATGAAAGAGATGCTAATTAAAATAAAGGATGCCCAAATCACTGCTTTATCTGGAGCAGTCACTTAAAGACAACGATAACCTTAATTGTTGCAGAGAAGTATCACCACCAACAACCAACTGAATAGCGAAGTCTTGGAATCTCAAGATCAAAATTCTAATGCATCTCTAAAGTAACCAAACAGGACTGGAGCCAACAATAGTCTATACAGTTAAAAATATATACGTGGATATATGCGTATACACACACTTAGAAAACAGTTTCTCAAAAACCACTTACGTTTTTCTTAAAACCAAAATAGGCACCAATAAACGTCAGCGGTACAGATATGCAAAACCAGAGTGCCAAAATAGCAACCAAAGTACCAAATGGAATAGCTGCTGAAGAGCCTTCTCCCCAGAGAATGAGGTTCATGATAAAAAAATCTGCAAATACAATTCTGAAAAATACATAACACACTTAAAGCACAGAAATACTTCATATTTAATAGTGTTAACAAAACAATAGCACTGTATTAAGATTTTAGTGTAAGCTCTGTTAAAACCAAGTAACACATACAAAATATCAAAATGAAGAGGTCAAACAAGCAATTCTTTGTTAATCTAGTGGGACTGAACTCCAGCAGGAGCTGACATTCCAACTAGGCAATTTCAAATATATGCTTGTCTTAAGTACACTTCGGGGTAAGACTGCTTGCTGTGATTAAGTAGAAAAATTTATCACCGTATTATACAGTATATGACACTGTATAAGACCAACTACAGCGTGGTCAGAGAAACAGCCTAGAGAATAAAATAGAGCAATGAAAAAGTGTGCCTGTCTAAAACTTACTACTATCATAATGCTCTTTCGTAATCAACCTTTTCATGTGGTAAACAAATGCCTGCTAAAAAAAATATCTAGGGATGATATCCCATTAACATATTCATCTTTGTCAAAAGTGCTGTGACATTCTTGTAGCTTCTGGAATAAAGGGAAGATGTAGTAAGATCTACTTGTAAGCCGAAACTTAAAAATTAGCTATGCATGTCAGAGAAGCAATTTAATTCTTTTAATCATGCCAATATTCTCAACTTACCCAGGACAAAGGAATGATGTCAGCAGGACATTTGTTTTCCATTTCTCACCTCCAAATGCTGTATTAAAACATTTGACAGTCATCAAAACATGCATTAAGCTCACAATTGTTAATTTTCCAGTCCATTTACCTGTTATACTTAGCTTGCAAATACTCCAATAATGTGCTATCATGCTCAAGTTTAAAACAGTAAACTAAATCTTCAGTAATAACACTGAATTCCCTCATCATACTGCTTAATCGCAGAGCTTCAAACCAAAGAAAAGCCTCAGACCAAGGTCAGGAAAAGTATCCAACTAAATAAACTGGGTCTCTGACCACTTTATCTGCCAAAAGGAGGAAGCAGATTTGCAGTACTTTTAAATCTTTAAAAAACAGTTTAAACCTGGAGTGATTAGGAAGTTTAAGCTTTCTAGCATTTGACTGCAGGTTTCAGAAGGGAAAAAACCCACATAAATATGTGAAAAGCAAGCTTAACAGTTTTCTTGAAATAATTTTTGTTTACGAATCTTACAAGAAAGTCAGGACTAACACACTTACAGGAAGTAGTGATGTTCTCTTCAGTCTTAACAGCATTAAGCAGTGGTGATACCAAAAGACCAAAGATAGCTTTATTAAGAAAATCTTTATGAATTTGCACTATGCTGATAAAAATTCTAGTCAGCATACTTTCAAATGAAAATATCCTGCTGGAATTCAGTTAAGCTGACAATTTCATCTGAGCACTACCATAACGATATGCTTCTTTATGAGTCAGAAGTGATTATGGTTAGAGTGATTTTAATTAAGTTTCTATTTCTTCATAAAAATCTTGGTAGAGCATGGCACCGGTTATTAAGATTAAACATTTAATTTCAACTCAGGTTTCACTTTTTAAATGCAATGTTGGAAAAAAACCCCACTTTTAAAACTGAATATCCATTTCAGTGGCATTTTGGTTTATGTCTCACATTACTTCATTTGTATACTACAAGGAGAAATACTCATGTTTACATGCTCTATACAGGGTATGGACCACCTCATGTTAGAACAAAAATATCTCTGGATCAGTCTCTCATTGTCTTAGTAGTTAAACACAGTATTCAAGTATCAACTAATGATTCCCAGTAAGTACAATATGAAATATTATTATTAGCTACATCTCCACCAAAGATACAGGATTCAATTTACCATCAATACACTTCAAAATAGCCTTCAAAACACGTAATACGCAGCATGACATAAAGATTAACATCCTCTTAGACTTAAATGGAAGGAGATTTTAGGGACTAATTGGCCTGAACATTAGGAAAAGGAGTATTTGCTATCACATCGTTACCATTGTGGAAGAACTGCTTAGAAAATACAAACCCTCTTTCCCCAGTGATTCTCCCCACATAAAAATTACAAAATGGTTAGAAGAAACAACTCTAATGCCTACTGCCAGGCTGAAGTTCAGAAATAAGCTCCTTCTAGTCCTGTACGTTCAGAACTAAAATAGTCCAAAAGATTCAGCTCAGTCATAAAGAGTCTTTTACCTTGAGTAAGGTAATTAAAACAAGCTGTATGCTGAATGGCATGCTTCAACTTAAAATAAACCAGAGGGTACAGGGACAAACCATTTCAGGTTGGTAGGCAGGCATTGAAGCAATAGCTAGCTGGGATCAGGGAAGGAAAACAGTATCAGCTAACTACTGTCAGGTGCCCAAGCACCACTGGGTTGATTTCTACAACTACAGAACTCCTAATAATCCTTCCCCCTGTGCCCTTGCCGTAGACTGATAAGCACCATTCTCCAAAAAGACCTAGGAACTAGCTAAAAAGAGGTGACAAATCTCAGGTGTGCAAGAACAGAGAGGTTCATGATTTGGCAAAAAAAAAGAAAAAATGTTACTGAGCAACATTGTTGGCTAAAACTAAATGCAACACCGCCTCCCTGTAGGAAACAGAAGTACAAAACTGTCTGATGTAATGAGCTTAGTACCAGTAAAATGGAATTTGCTTCTGAATTCCATAAATACATAGTAGTAAGACCAATTCAGGGTCTTTAGGCATGATCACATCAAAACAAATGTAACCATGTTAGTATTCTATATGCATTTTCTGTTGTTAAGGTAAATACATTTCTCCAGCTTGCCCCAAGGGAAACTACAAACAGCACTGCAAAATAAAAATCAGTTCTCTGATGATAATTTACTTTAATGAACTCAAGCCTTGTCATTTTAAATAACTTTTACTCACATTTGTAGAATCTGGCAGCAACATAACCAGCTGGAGTTCCAAGCAGTACCCACAGAACTACAGCACAGGTCATTAGAGCTCCCCGGTTAGCAGGTGACAAAAATCCCAGGCAAGCAAAAACTATGAAGCAGAGATGCATGATTTTAGAAAGCAACCATATGTTTCAATTAAAGCCAGTACATCAATTATCTTAAAATATGTGTATACTAAAGTTTTGTGTCTACTGTATCAGCTCAGCTGTTTCTAACATTAAGACTTGTAAGAAATTTCTAGACAAAACCTATACTGCTATTTTTACTAGTACCATGCAATTAGCAGTGAAAAAAAATCACCTTTACTGAACTAACTCCTCCTCACTTTTTTTACTTACACAGGGTAACAAAAGTCATTATTAAGATCTGTGTGCCAGAGCCTAGAAAAACGGACAACAGCATTCCTTTTCTTGGCGGCCTGAAAATATCACCGTGAACCAGTTTCCAGCCAAATTCTTCTTGAGCATCTTCCTGTAAAGGAAATACATCTATTTTAATACAGTAGATTACCATTTAAATAGCCCGTTTCAGAAATACATTTAGCTGAAAAAAATTACATTCCAAATAAATGAGGAGGTAGGTTTTAGACTTACAGTGGAATCCATCTGATTGTATCTTGCAATGTCTTTATGCAGTGTCCTCAACATAATCATAGCTACCATTCCAGATAGAAAGAGGACAATCACCAAGGAATTCATAATACTGAATTTAAAAAAAAAAAAGAGAAAAAATAAAAATCATCATTCAAATCGCAATGTAATCACTTCAGTCCAGTACACTTGCAGACAAACTTTCTTCTCACCTAAACCATTGAATGTGAGTGTGAGGCATGGATTCCAAAATATAATCCCATCTTGATGCCCACCTTATACTTTTTTCTTCCTGTAAGAGTAAACACAGCAGTTTCACATACATTCAGTATCCAACTTGTAAATCTACAAGTTGATTTTCGTGCAAACCAATATTAAATCTCATGAGAAATTGGAAATTTCATGTTGCATGCCTTAAAGGGAATAGTTTAATAATAGCTACCTAAAACAAACCTAAGATTTAACCACAGAATCTAACCCAAAGTATTTTCTGAATAGTATTGAGCACCCATGTCTTTTTAAGACATAAAGGCCTATTTAATTCTTGAAGGGAGGAAGTACAATTAATTTCATTAATTCATTTTGAATTCAAATGACTAGCAGCATAATAAAAGAACATGCCTTTTTAGCATATATAAGTCAACACCAGAGACATTGAGAAACTAAACTCTATAAAGTCTCCAGCATAACATACCACTTTCTAGATAGTGCTCTGTCCAAATTATCCTTTGCTTTCATACAACCTGGTTTCAGTAGCAACTACCAATCTTGGTTACATTCAGCTTACGCTGCAAGACAGATGGGGGGGACAATACTACAGAACTTACATTGTTAGTAGAGGGAAACAAATTATTCCTTCAGGCATTTCAATTGATTATGCTTATTCATACTGAACATTCATTGATCAGAAATACTTCAAAAAGAGCATTTATTTTGCAGAGTAAACATGAAAAAAAAGGAACAAACAGTGCTGATTGACCTGAAGATTGCTATTAAATAAACCATAAATGCTAGTATCAATTAATAAAAATGGCTAGGTGTCTGACAGGATGTTATCTTAGTAATTTCTAATATACAAGAGCAAGAGTGCTTTCCAGTAAAGACAGTTTTTGAAAATTTAAGAACCAGCAAGGTAAAAAATCTAGCCAAGATCAAATACCTTGTTCACTAAGGTAATAAAACTACGTCACAAAGCAAACAACAAGTTTCTAAACCAATACCAACAATTCTAGGATAGAATCACATTTTTCCCCATACCTACACTGCCTTTTTTCCGTCTTCCTGAGACGACCTAATGGAATTTCAAAAGATAACCTCCAAATGATGTAACATTGCACACAGGACAGTAACCCACACACAGGCATGTCATTTTTTAAAGAGAAACAATCTAATAGCATGAAGCTAAGGTCATTCTTAATTACTAACTTCTCACAGGTTTCCAGAAGTACTTGCTTTTCAGTACACAAATTAATTTCAGCATCATAACTGATATAATTCATCAAAATATAATTATTGTCATACATAATATAACCTCCTCTGAACATTTTTCCTATACCATTTATTGCGTTTTGAACTTTACCATGTAATCCCGTACATTACTAGAGTAAAGAACGATCATGGTAATTCTATAAACACTGCTGTAACAGCTTGTAAGAGATTAGAGGTGTTCATGCCTGAGAAGCTGCAGCAATGTAATGATATTGTAAGGCCAATGCTTTACTGTGTACTTCTTATGACAGTGGCAGTGGATCCCACACCCTAACTCAACACTACCCTCCAATTAAGTTTAAACATCAACTATTCAGTCTCCATTTCACCACGGTTGAACTGAACCCTACAGCAGGCTGTAAGCCTAGAATTAAGATATATGAACAGCCTTGATATAGCAATGGCCTATCATTTTGAAAGACACCACTGACCTTTCAATCAGAACAAGAAAAAGGTTAAAAAACAGCAGTAAGGCAATTTTTATTTTTGTTTAATCTGTTAATTGCCAAGATTTTCATTAAAGTTCATAATGACAAAAAAAAAAGTAGGAAGTAGACTCCTTTATATCCAGGAGAATCACAGAAATATTGAGGTTGAAAATATGAACTTGCTGTGTGTGAGTTATCCCCTTGATACATACACAAGGAGTCAAGAAAATTCATTTAGTTATAATCTGCATTCTTTCTAGTGAGTCACTTGCATTTTGAAGTCTTAGACTAAAAGGGAAACAGTGGGAAACTTTGGGAAATAGTTTGTCCAGCAAACTCCATAAAAAAACCCCAAACAAACCAAACAGAACAAAACACAAAACCCCAACCCCTTTCTTGCTTGTCACCAGAATGAGACATATTTAAGTATCACTGTTCCCTGCAGTTGCCTGATATACTGCTCTTCTGCTTTTAAATAGACACTAGAGGAACAAAGAATACCAGCTTCCTACTCTTCTGCAGATTACCGTGGGAAGAAGACCTTGCAGAGAAGAAAGCTTTTGCAGCAGGACAGCAGCTTCAACCTGCCTACAACAGTAATTTGCTGAAACACATAATTTCTCAGACTTAAGAGCTTGGATTGAAAAATAACCTACCAGACAACCTAGGTAAGTGCAGAAAATGTGATTCTTCTAAAAAACACATGCAATTTAACATTTGGTGTGTGTGGGATGGGATGGAATACAAAACTGTAAAGCGTGTGGTTAAATCCCAAGCCATCTCTGACATTCCAGTTCAAATAAAGTTTTAAAACCACAAATTTACTATTCTGAGAGAATTTTAGTTGTCCATCTTTGTAATTCAGAGTAGTAATGCATGATTTTAAGAGGCAACTACCACAGAAAGCTTAGTACTCACGTGAAAAGAAACTGAGTATGTGTAAGCAATCTTGACTTCTCCGTTAGCCTTATTACTTATATCCATAGGTAGTCCTGAGCAATCAGGGTTGTCTGGATGAGTATGCTTGTAACTGCGGGAAGAAAAAAATAGAATGAAAACTGCTTCACTAACAACACTCTTAAAGAATTCGTTCATCTTACAAAAGCATCAGTTTCATCCAGGATTCTTCCCTTAAGTATAAAAGTTGTTCTTAATGCCTCATAAATTTCAGAACTCAAAAGGAATGTATCATAAGAACAGGAGTTTTTGATACTTGAACTTTTTAAACCAAAGTTGTGTCTTCTAAAAAGAAAACTACAGAGAGCACAGTCTCTAAAGCAGAGCACCAAAAGTTACAGAAGTCTGAATACTGCTAAGACCCTCCACAACACTCAAAGTTACAACAGAATTACTAACGTCTGTCAGAAAAGAAATACTTGCATCATGATGCTGGACCAACAGTGCAACAAGCTCAGTTATACCAAGAATACAAGAGAAAGGAAATAAAAGATGCTAAGAAGATATCAGGTGTGCAAAAGCCACATAGACACCAAAACAACTGATGGGTAAATCTGTGAAATCATTCCATTCAAACCCTGATTGCTGAAAACATCCAATGTTGCACTCTCATTACTGCATCAGGCACTGGTGGGCTATTCCATCACAAGACAAAATGTTCCCCAGTAGGTAAGTGAGTGTTGCTTCACTGAACACATACCACTTCCAGTTTTTATTTTATATTTTTTTGGCCCAAATAGGAAATAGTGCACAAAGATCTATCAAATTCAGAACAAAATTATGTTAGACTGTCCTACATTGCACTACAGCAATCAAAAGGAAAGCTAATCTGCAGGTCACCTATCTGAAAACATTTCTGACTAGCAACAAATCAAAGCAAGTATCTTGGGATGGACCGCTGTTAGAAGACAAGTTACTTCTGAGTACTAACCTTTTTGGTTCAAGTTTAGCAGCAACTAGTCTTGCTCCCAGAGCTTCGTTTTCCACAACATGGTAATGTATTTTTATGTCAACATGGTTGAAGATATAAAAAGTATCTTTTTCATGAAATTCTGACTGCAATGATAAGAGATGATGTTAAACAATCAAAAAATATAAAGACATCTAAAAGCCTTAGGCAGAAGCTTACATAGCAGAATTTTAGACTGTGTACAGTTTTCTGTCAAGAAATTCAGGATTCTGAATGCAGAATCAAGTCAAGAAATGCAAGATTCTAGGAATACAGAGAGTAAAGTCTTTGCATTAAAGCCTTGCATTAAAAAAACAAACTAGAAAAGTTAGTGTTAAGAACTGTCTTACTACAGTTGAAAAGTAGAAAAATGTATTTAAATATAAAGTGTATTTATAAATATACATATATTTATTAAAATAACTGAAGATGCCCCATGTTATTTAATTGAAGTAGCAAACTGAATAGATAATTATGTGCCAAGTTTCATATCAGAAGTAGTTCATAAACATCAGCTATTTCAAAACAACATGTATATATTTCATAGATTAAACAGAACCTTCCAAGACAAACAATTCAAATAATTGCTGACAGAACCACCTTGACATTTGAAACCAAAGATGCCTAGGGATGAACTGCAAGCAGCAGTTGAAAAGAATGTTGAAAAATCTCAGGTGAATGGAAACATCAGCTTGGAATTTTGTCAGTTAAAGAGGTGGTTAAATCACGAGCATTATATCTACTGAAGTTCAACTAATACTTCTTCAGGGTTCTAACCCCAGCCCTTTCTACAAAGCACCCTAAGTATAAGAATAGTTATATAAACAAAGAGTTCTTCTACAGTCCTTCAGTTACTCCTTCCAAGGTTGTTTAAATACTTGTTTTTAAGAAAAGGGAAATAGACTAAAAATAATAATGTCAGATTACATATTTGATCATAAATGCAGCCACTCATATGGAGCCTCTGAAATCAATTTATTATGGAGGCAAGGAAACAAAATTAGAAACTGCAGAAACTGTCATCTATGGTAAGATCCATTAACTAAATCAAACCATTTTGATAAAAAAACCTAATCCAGGGTGTTAGTGACCTCTCCATGGAAGAGATCTGTGGTAATCTAAAGATATCCTGGACTTTCTATTGCGTTCTTATCTTCATAATGCTTAGAGTGCATTCATCCGGACCTCCACCAGTTAATCTAATAGATCTGTCTCTCACAGGAAAAGCTTTGCTCACTTAGAAATCTTAAATTCTGCCTTCTTCCATTAGCTCACACAGTTTTAGGGAAAGCAATGCTTCAAGAAGTATTAATTTCCATGCAGTGGTACAAACACTTCTATCCCACCAAAATGTAAAGTCCAAGCCTTCAGATGTTCAGACGACTTAGGCAATGAAGGATGATGTGTTTTTCTTCTTCACCCTTTACATGTACTGAATGTGCATAACGTTTATCTCTGCTATCTTTTGGAGCTCTTCTGTATTATGCAACAGAAGAGACAGAGTTCTCAGGCTTAGATGAGGCTTACAAATTGCAGTACTTAGAGAGAGATCAAAACACTTAGTTTTAGGCAACAAGGGCTCTTAAGATAGTGAGGACTCGCCATAGAAACATGACATAGGAGAAATGCCAGTCTTTAGTAAAAAGGAGGTATTAAAAAAAATAAATTACGTAAACCTACATTAATAACACAGGCATCTTTTGGACGGCCATCTTCTGTAATGTAACAGCCAATAGGAAACCCAGGATTGCAAAACCTCTGGCCATCTTCGACATCGTAACACCAGGTCACAGGCATGTTGTCTACAATCCTGTAAATGGCATACTGACATTTCACAATCTTCCAAAATACAGAGTGTAATGGAAAAAAACCCAGACTAATATTAATCTAACTTTGCCACACTGGTTATTGAAAGATTAACTACAAGAATAATACTTCTTTCAGATCTTAACACATAGAATTGCACCGATTGTCAATCCAATTTCCAAATGAGAGGTAAGCATGTAGCTCTTCCACTGAAACTATCTTTTCTAGAAAAAAATAACTTAAAAAAATCAATTTAGTTCTTCAGAAGGTGGCTTGTAAAAGGAGGCTTACTCTGTGACCATCAAAACATTCTATTCATTGGACTGGTTTCCGAAGTCCCCTTACAACTATAGCTCAATACATAAAACTCTCCCACTCCAAAGTAATAACATTTCATTGTTTTGTTTTTAAAAATGGCCAAAATCATCCACTAAACCAGCTACAACTAACTTGGTAATTTCAAGTTTAAGACAAAACACAAAATAAATTTGCCTACATGCACATTATTAATTCTCCAGCTTCCTCATTGTTCTTCCATCACAAAATACATTTTTTCATGGCACTCCAAACTTTTACTTTTCATTAAAGCTAAAGTGCAAGGATTTTTTGTTTTGGTGTTGTGGGTTTTTTTGTGTGTGGTGGGTTTTTGTTGTTGTTTTTTTGTTTGTTTGCTTGTTTTTTGTTTTGTTTTTGCTATTCAAGTGAATTCCTGACCATTGACCTCAGCTGTAGTTCCCTGAGAGTATGGAATATTTTAACTAGATAGGTTATGTGAGCAAAAAGTTGTAAGCCATCACACACTTGGGAAAGTAATCACTTTCAAACATCCCTCCGTTGTCTACCTGCTGCTTTTATATTATAGCCTCACAAGATTTATATTCACATTACCTAAAAGACCTGAGCCCAGTAGGTTTATAGTTTAGTTTCAATGAAACATTTGTGGAGGAACACACCCCCATGAGGAGTTGCAGAAGATGATACATTAAGATACAAACAGTATCCAACATGCTAGAAACAGTACAAATGTCAAACCCAAAAATACACTTTTAAACAAAGATACCAGACATAGTGACCCATCCCTTTGTAAAAGAAACTACTAAAAAACTCAAGCCTGTTTCTTTATGTTATGAAGTGTTTTAACTAGCTGAAAGATAAATCCCAAAAGAAAGTAATTCAAAGATGACTTGAAATTCAGTAGCTGTCGCTGGGGCAACATTAATGGCTCGAAGGTGTGTTTTTAAGGGTCTGTTAATAAACTTCACACATGAAGACATGAGACAACTGCTATTTTGCGTGCACCACTGGACCGAGAAAAGAACTTTCAGTGGGTTGTCAACAACACACTTTTGCAAAACTTACCAAGCTACTGAACATCCTTTACAATTAAATGTCTCATCACTATAACCACTAGACTATTAATGTTAAGAGATACCTGATAATACCTCATTAGGTACTTTTAAATACCTAATTAAACACAGGAATTATGACTTCAGACAAGAAAACCAAAGCATTATTTAGTCTGTCACATATTTTAACAGTCTCTGAATTAGCACTATTTCTTAAAGCACATTAACTGATAGGGGTAAAAAGAGCAGTACATGCTGTCTTTGTTCACACAACATAAAGAGATCTGCATCATCCATACCATTAGCTACCAGGCAGAAATGAGTAGCAATGTTCTTGGCTCAATATTGACACGGAGGAAGAGCTGAAGACAGGCCCTCCAAAAACCACAGTTTCCAGGTTATCAGGAGATTCCCAAGAATACCACAGTCATGAGCAGCAGCACCACCAACCAAATCCTACTCACTTCACCATGCTACTACAAGGTACAATTAAGTTGCTAATTAGGAGCTACTCCAGATGCAGATTCATTACACTTGGACCATATTTGGAATTTTACCCCCACAATATACACTAGACATATCTCTTGCTTTTGTTAGTATTTTAATTTCATAATCAAAACCAGGTAAAGCATTAACTTATTGCAAATGAGTCTGATTGGGGTAAGGGCTTTTCCCTTGTATCTTCTGCAGCAGAGGCATACTGAGCTGCCTTTAAGCAGCAATGCTGGAACAAATTGATGATTTAAGAAGCAAATCATTTTTCACAGTTAATCTCCAAATTTAAAATGACTTGAAGAGATTATACACGTGGGGCAAATATGTTATACAACAGCGTTCTTATATGTCTCTCAAAAACATCTGGTGATGAACACTGTCAGCCAAGATATCAGTATAGCTGTTGAGTCCAATTCAGTATGTCAATTCCTAATCTTATTAAGTGGCTTTTAAAGCCTTTAAAGTACTTTGCACCATCTGTATTCCCCAGGAATTTTATGATAAATTGAAGCTGGATAATAAGCCTCTATTAAATCCTCACTTATGATACCTTGCTGATCCCTGCACAACATAGCCCTGTACCATACCATGCTCCTGGACCATGCATCATTCATCACAAAACCCAGCCACTTTAACTTTGTGAAGCTGTGGCTGAGGAGGACTATCATTACCAGACAGACGTATACTAAGATTCTTCATGCCACTGGTTCTAAAGTTTTAGGGCAGTGGGCCTAGCAAAAAAATAAATAGTAGAAGTGCTATTAAAAGAACTAAGAATATAAGTAGTACCCTAAATTAAAAGGGAAGTTTTCACACTGAAAAACAGCACTACATCTTACTAAAATCTGAACAATCCTATCAAGTTAGCTGTACAGGCTAAAAAAAATACTTAAATACACTAAGGGGGAACCCCCCCCCCGTCTAAAGTACTTTTCTGTGTGATTAGTTTTACACAGTTCTGTTTCAGTTTCTTTCAGCTTAAGTTTTGGGCTTTCCTAAAAAAATAAAATTATTTCAAAGAGTGACAGGATCACAGCCTTGGGAAACTAGTTTTCATTTACACACTAAAGCATACACAAACTTTTAAAGCTGAAGCTTTATGCCAGACCAACACGCATCAGTGAAATTCAAAGTGGTGGTAACATTATAAATACATGTAGTATTTAACAAGAATATAACCAAATCCAGCATGTTTGAAGCTCTACTTATTTCAGAATTAGGCATATACACTTCGAATCCCTGCAAAAGTAGCTGTATCTGTCAGGGTTTATTTATTGCTTCCTGGTTCACCTACAAGAACATATGGCTATTGTGTGTGAACCCTTCTGACCTAATTTATCAACTTCCAACTAAACTAATTTTCAAGAGGTTCCCAGAAATATTTACATCAGTGAGCTGTAGTTTATCCCTTAAAAGGGATATCCCATATCAGTTCCCAAAAGCAGCAGAAAATACACTCATTGCCTTTCCAGCATGGGTGGCTCTTTCAAAACTGAAGAAATGGAATGTGACATTACAGAAAAACATTTAATGACAGTATCAAAACTCAACATTTCACCTGCATTTTTACTAATATATCCAGAAAGTTTTAATCTAATTAGATGAAAACCAAAATGTTTGTTTCTGTGAAGCAGGGAGCACACACCTGGAAACATATGAGCAACATTGGTTAATTATGTTCATATATTACTTGCAAAGACATGCCACAGCAACTCTGACAACTTCGTGCCCAAGTTGTTCCTTCTACCCTTGCAACTAAAGGTTGCTCTTAGCACAGAACACCGAGATATAAAGCACTCTACAAACACTGACAGCATGGCTGGGTATTTCCAATGTCAAGACGGAGCCTGCTGATAAACATTTCCCAGCTTTTGGATGTGGGCGCAGAGCTTGGCTACATCCTAACTGACAATCAGCATGAGATTCAGCGCACACATTCAGCCTTGCCCCACCCTTAACGCCCATTGGAAAAGGACCTCAATGTCCAAGCAGAAACAGAGCCCCAGCATGCTCCAAGACGACTCAGATGGTTACAGAGAGACTCAGGGAATAGGAAAGGACCAAGTGTTGATGCATTCCTCAAAATTATTTCATCAATTAATTTTCACTGGCCACCTTTCACTTCCATATCCTATAAGAGAAACAAACTTTGCATAAAACACTTTCAGGCTGATCCTATCTCCTGGACACAGTGCTTGAAGGGGAGTGCAAAGGCTCTTGAGGAAAACAAAGATGACACAGCAATAGAATGAAGGTCCCTTAAGACTTTTCTCAAGCTAGGGCAGGGTTAACTGCTAGATTTACAGGTGAAAAGAAATAGCAGTATTTTACAGTAAGCACAGAGGCAGCACAAAAAACACAAAGCTTTGTGTCTGGAAACAGACTCTTTTCCATTATACCTGGTGCTAATCCTTCAAGTGAAGGAATTTTTTTTTAATGAAGACAACAAGCAAGAACAGAAGGGGAATAGATTCAGTGCAAATACCTAGTGTTCAATCTATATTAACTTGCAAATGCAAAATGATAAACTAAATAATCACCAACATATAGATTAACCAAGCTATGGATTTTGATATCAACTTACCAATGATGTTGGTAATTCAGTAGCATGCTTTTTTTCAAAAAGTCTAATTTCTGTTTATCTTCTGGCTTTGTGGTATCGTATGTTTTTGTACAAACAGATTTACATGTTTCCTTCTTGTTGAATGTGAACTAAGAAAAATGAAAGACATATGAGCAAAAAGATTGTAACAAATTGTGTGTCATTTCAGTATTTAACAAGTTTCCCCTATGCATTTATAATTGCCTATACTATTATAATAAAAACACCTAATAAATTACCAAGACTACGTGTATTAACCTCCAGAGGAGGTTTCTATATTGGTGTGCGCTATAAAACCCTCCTGTGTTCATTGTAGGAGCCCTGCACTAAGAGCTCCTTTTTACTGATTAAAACCTGTTTCCTGCAATGATTTACCAAACAAGTCAGCTGACCTCACAGCAGCATTGCCATCCCAGGCAGATTCAATTGATAACTGTCTCTCCTACTACATGTACATGTAGGAGAGAAAGTGAGAGCTTCAGTCACCAGAAAAGACAAGCTGGCTAACACCATTTCTAATTCTTCCATTTTACAGCTGCGGTCTTTTCAGATCTGGTTCCAAGAAATAAGAGTACTCAATTCCTTCTAACAAGGGGACAGCTGAGGAGCAAGAATCAGGTTGTGGCAGGTTCCAAAGAGAGGAGACAACCTCCACAGCATTTCAGGCTACAGCTTCATGATGCAAAATGCATAGTTACAATTAGGTAAATCGAGAGATTTCTATTATATGGAATTTCAGATTTTGAAGCTCTTTGAGATAAAGCCCTTGTGAAGAGGATCCTCAAGATTCTGATCTCCTTTGGTTACATCTGAACATACATATTACCGAACAGCCCTTGTCAGAGAACAAACCCTGTAAGGAGATGGTTCTATCCTCTCTCCAAACAATACTTGGCCAAGGTTTTCAGAGGGACGCTTCTTTCCTTCCGCTTGGCAAAAATCAAACCTGAATTAGAGAAAAGATACAAAAGTTAATAAAAATATTCTCTGCGGCAAATCAGCACCTTCATCACAAGTAAAGGAACTATATGGCTTTCCTTCTAGACAACAGTTTCTCCCTTAAACCTGTGAGGCAAAGTGTGAAAATCACAGTCCCGTTTTGGAAAAAACGGAACAAAAGCAACAATCAAATCTCTTCTTCAGCTATTTCAGAACTCAGTTTATATTAAACACGGCAGCATAACAGTTTCCTGAAGAAATCAGAAGTTTCCTATTTGAACAGGGATTTTAGCCAAGAATTAAACCTTCACATAGAGTTTCATGACAGCTCTGAGAGAAAAACATGCAGGCCAGATTCTCGGGCTGGGGAGTAATAAAAGAAAAAAAAATTACAAAATTACACAGACACACACACGTATACAGACAGCTCCTTTACAGCAAGCACTATTACATAAACAGGTTACTGCAGTTTTATTCACCAAAACATTTAATAGCACATCCTCCAAGTTTTTCCAGCCTAATTTCAAGTATATCACATTTGTGTTCATTAAAGTGTAGACAAAACTACTGCTTAACCTCTCCAATGTTAACAATCAAAATATTCTTTGAAGCAACAACTTTACACAGGTGTACCAGGCACTGACATATTTTGTGGCTCCTATGATGTGTACCAAGAAAACATTTAACACCTCATTAAGATAATTGATGGGAAGTTCACACCTCATTACCACTTTAACTCCTCTGGCTATAGGCTACTAAAGACAGCAGTAATACTTTGATCTATAAAATGACAACTAATGCACACACACACACACATTTTAACCTTAAGTTACTCTAAAGCAGTGATTCGACCTACATGAGGGCCTATGAATCCATGCACTACTTCTGAAGTATGAGCAATGACAACCAAGAAGAAGGAAGCAATGCATGCATCCATCTGCTGGTTGAAAATTCTCTATTGGTAAACTTATGTTAGCAAAACAAATAGACATTACTCACTGGCAAACTGCAGTAGCAAGAGGCAGATAATACTTTAAGATAAATTAAATTCATCTTTTTGGAAGAACTGGCAACTAAAATGACACAAACAGTATAATATACTTACGCAGTATATTCGTAGGGAAGGACAGACTCTACAGAGTCAAGCCTGTTCACAAACAGCTCGATTCCAGACTGAAAGAGTGGAGATAGTCATCAGTTATATTAAAGCACTTCTTCAATTCTGACAGATATATATATATAAATAGATTTGCATAAATAAGGTAAAGGAAAGCTGAAAATGTAAGATTTGTGTAATTATACATCTTGAAATGTAGAATCTTGTGTAATGAACTGTATCTGCTGAGACCATAAGTAAAACACTATCTAACCATCACAAAAACAGTGATCACATGACAAAACCACTTTAAGGCTAACAAACCATTCAAGCTCAAAGAAATCATGCACAAGAATAATACAGTTACCACAGCTGCCAGTGTTTTAGTTTGGTGTACCCAGTTAGAGCCATATTAATCATCACCACAACTTTTGTGTAATAAAAGTCTTAAAAGAACATGAATAAAAGTATGGATGATATCAGTACTTCTCCCTATAACTAAGCCACTCCACAATTTTATCTATGTAGCAACTGGAAACTGAACTATGATGATTTAAACAATGTATTCAGACTGATACACTGTTTTAAGTTTGTACAGAAGCTCTTTCCAAAGAGAAGGCAAGGATATCCACATTTACCTCCTTATAAAAGTTTATCAATAACTCTAGCAACTCTTGACTAAGAACCTGAAATTCAGCCTGCTGTGGTTTCAGACTAGTTTGGTCTATATACATTAATTACAGATGGGGTAGCCTGCTGCTACAGAAAGGGAGAGGT